TAAAGTCAGGAGGACTTGAGTTCAATACAGCCTCAGACCAAACACTTAACACTTACTAGATGTGTGACCCTGGGCAAGTCACTTAACTCCAATTGCCTGAAAATTAAAAAAAATAAAATAAAGCTCCTAACTCCAAATCCACTGCTTTCCCCACATCCTACCTATGTCAAACTCCCTGAAACAATGTGCCCAAGTGTACCTGCCTGGTACTAAGTATCCCACTTTAAAGTAAAGAAGATTTAAGTGTTTGTGAGGAAGGTATCTGCTGTGAAGTTCAAATATTCTTTTAATTAACAAAATTCTTTTAATTTACAAAAAAAATCATGCATTTCCCTCTTCTTGAGAACTACGTGCCCCAATGCCCATCCCTCACCCCACTTTCCAACCCCAAATGGATGTTCCTGGCAAGCATTGATTTCCTAAGTCAGTTGATTAGTAAAAGAAAATGAAGAATACATTTTGTTTCCAACTGTCTATTTGTGATCAATAAATCATTCCATTTCTACATCTAAATGCCATTTCTTGTTAATTTTTTGCAGGGACCAACAAATATTTGTTCCCCAAAGGAGCCCAGAAGGCTCTCTACTCTGATATTGAATTGTAAATATGAATAAAAGCTACTCATGACTTGGAAAAGGGTTCCAGTGCCCCTTCACAATGAGAATGAAATGAATGTCATTTTCTCCTTTGCGTCTGAGAAGGCCTCGGTTTACAACATTTGTGGGTTTAGTGTTAGGTAGATTCTAAGTCAAACGTTATCTTTGTTACATTTTAATATGCAGTTTGCAAATTGATATATGTATGTGTGTGTATGTGTATGTGTTTGTGTGTGTGTGTGTGTATGTGTGTTTGTACTTGATAGACTCTAGAAAGTGTAATCTCTTTCCTGAGAAGTAAAGAAATCTGAAAGTAATATCATCTCATGAGCTATAAACATTCTTGCTGGGTTGACCTATAGGGACACCTCCTCAATCTAGAACTCAGCTCTCAGTAGCCTCATCTTACTTTGATGAGTACCACCAGGAAAGAAGCAAATATGGCCTTGAACAGTCAAGACGGTTGTTACAATGGCCATGTAAGAAAATCTATGCCCTCTACCTGAAGAGCTCCTCAGCAGAGAGATTTGGTGTTGATAGCTAGATAAAGAAAAGTAGAGCAAAGGAGTAAAGACAGTAAAGAGTAAAGAAGTAATACAGGGAGAGGCAACAAAGCTAATGAACAACACACACTGGTTGTCACTTGGAGCTCCACAAGCCTTTTCCACTCCAGGAAGAGTTAGATAGCCTTGCAGGGAAGCCTGTCTCCTAAATGAAGAACACAGAATTATGGCTAAAAGCCTGAGAAGATGCAGACGAGTTTGAAAAGGTCAAACTGCTGATTTGCAAATTGGGTCTTTTTTGCAAGCTTATTTCATAATTGTCCCTGAGGATCCTAGTTTTGGTTAGGTAGGCTTTGCTGCCTGCTGTATCTCAGTGTATGTAAGACCCTTCTCAAAGCAAGAGAAACTTGCCAACGGCAAGGGAGAGGAGTGGGCAAGGGAGGGAGAGAGAGAAGAGACAGACACAAAGATGCAGAGGTGGGATCAGGAAGAACTCACCCGGAGTTTGGTAACTGCTGTGTAAATTCAGACTGAAAAGAACAGAAGTGAGATGGTTTGCTTTGGTTTGTTTTTCACTGTTGGTTTTAGGTGAAGCAAAGCACATCTCAAAGCCAGCCTTTGTCATTCATCCTGTTCAATGCCTCCCCAGATAGGAAGGGTAAACTAATGATTAAGGCCCACTTTTCCCAGACTGTGAATCTTGGATGCATCAGCTCATTGCATCAGTGATACTGTCTGGGGCTTCTGGTGCCAGCCATGTTGCCATGGGTATCAATGAAAACTGGATGAGGAGGCAGAAATTTCCACATGAATTTGGGGGTTAAGTTGGAAAAACTCAATATACAGTATAACTGTGACTTTTTGTTCATATAGGAAACTGAGGCCCTCAGAAGTAATTTGACATTAGACAAGCCATTTGCCTCTCTGCCATTTTCCTTATTTGAAAAATGAGGGAATTGAAGTAGACATCAGAGGTCACTTCTAGCTTAAAATTTATGATTTTGTAATCTGTTTCAGTTTTCAGATATCTAATAAAAGCCTTTAAAACTGAAACAAGAGAAGCCCCACAATTGACCAAAATATGTACATCTCAACAGAGTTTTTTCTGTAATTTACTGTAGTCATTTGTCTTTTGAAATATTGTTGTAAGTATATAAATTGCTATCCTGGTTCTGATCATTTCACTTTGTATCAGCTCCTATCAGTCTTCCCAGATTTCTCTGAAATCATCCCCTTCATCATTTCTTACAGCACAATAGTATTCTATCACTTCATGTGCTTCCATTGCTAGAACTTGTTCACCCTTTTCCTAATCGATAGGTACTCCCTCAGTTTCCAATTCTTTGCCATCAAAGTAAGGCCTGCTATAAATATTTTTGCACATATGGGTCCTTTTCCTCTTTCTTTGATCTCTTTGGGGCATAACCCTCTTCGTGGTATTGCTGGGTCAAAAGATAGGGACATTTTAATAGATTTTTGGGCATAGTTCCAAATTGCTTTCTAGAAAGGCTGGACTAATTCACAGTGCACTAGCTGTGCATTAATGTACATTTCCCCACAGTCCTTCTAGCATTTATCATTTTCATTTGTTGTCAACTTTGCTAGTCTGATGGATATGAGGTGCTACTTCAGAGTTATTTTAATTGGCATTTCTCTAATAGTGATTTAGAGCATTTTTTCATATGACTATTGATAGCTTGAATTTCTTCCTTTGAAAACTGCTTATTCATATCCTTTGATCATTTATCAGTTGAAGAATGGTTTTTATCCTTATAAATTTGAATCAATTCCCTGCATATTTTAGAAACAAGACCTTTATTAGAGAAACAATGCAAATTTTGTTTCCCAATTTCCTTCTCTTTTAATTTTAGCTAAGTTGTTTTTTGCTTGTACACATTTTTTAATTTCATGTAATCAGAATTGTCCAGTTTATCTCCTGTGAACCTCTCTATTTCTTGCTCTATTTCTTTCCTTCTCTATAGTTCTAACAAGTATTTTCTTCCATGTTCATCTAATTTAATTATGATGTTATCCTTTACATCTAAATCATGTACTCATTTGAAGCTTGTCTTTTGGTCTATACCTAGTTTCTGCCATAGTGACTTGATTTATTTTAAAATTGAGTGTTTGCAGTGAGTCAAGGTAGTAATGGATTTGAGTTGGAGAGGCAGCCTGGTACAGTGGGAAGATTATTGGATCTGGAGTTGGAAGATGTAGATTATGTAGCCTTCAACTCTATATTACCTTATAGTAATACTTAGGCAAGTCACTTACCCAGTCTGAGCCCTTGTTTCTTCACCTGTACAATAAGGGGCTTTTATTAGAGGATTTCTCAGGTCCCTTCCATCTAAGTCCTACAGTCTGTTGAGCCAAGAAGCCCAGAGATTGTCCTAATAAGCTTAATAAATGTTTGTTCAAATGAACCGACAAAGAATTCAGTTGCAAATGCTTATTTGGCACCTACTATTATAAACTATTGTATTGGGCATTATTAAGTCAGTATCATAGTATTGGAACAAGGGCCTGGAATCAGGAAGACAGACTCATCTTCCTGAGTTCAAATTCAGCCTCAAACAGGCACTTATCGGCTGTATGACCCTAGGCAAGTCACTTAGCTTTGTTTGCCTCACTTTCCTCATTTGTAAAATGAGCTGGAGAAAAGAAAATGGCAAGCCACTCCATTACCTTTGCCAAGAAAACTCCAAATGGGGTCACAAAGAGTCAGACACTATTGAACAAGGACAACAATCAATGTAGCTAACTGAATTGATTAGAGTATGGTGCTAGTAAAGCCAGGGTTTCCATTGGATATCCCCATACTCTGCTAGCTCCTTTTTCTGACTGGGAGACTTAGTCCTTATCTCTGATTGGGCAGGAGTGTGTGACTGAACCTGCATTGGTATAGATGGCAGCTCCATAGAATCATCTCTGTGGATGAAGGACAGCAACATCTCTCATAATATTTAGGATCATTTTATGTAGCATATTTGTTATTGGAGATCTGGGTTTGCTAGAACTTCCACTATGACTGAAAGATAAGACACTGTATATACCACAGTAAAAGGGGGTCATTCTCAGGCAGATATCTTGTAGAATTGCTGAAATTTCATGGTTTGAGTAAATAGAAGATGAAACATGACCGCAGTCATTGGTCATAGGCTGGATAGTTGGTTTGGTGTCATTTTTTCAGACATTTGTTTTACCTTTGCTAGATCCCAAGCTAATATCTCCAGGAGATAGTCTACAGCCTGTTCATCCAACCTTTCCTTCAGGATTTGAATCAGGCTTCTTCATTCCCACTGGGAAACATTGGTTTAGAATCCCAGCAAGAAGTATTGCAACTCCTTAGAGTACCTGAGGCTGCCAAGAGCAGAAAAGTGACTTCATGGATGCTTATTCAACCAATACGCAGGTTGTTTGAACCAAAGGTATCAAGCACACGGCCCATATTGCAGCCCCAACACTCTTTGAGTGAGGCTTGAACCATATTAAAATATAATTGGGAATTATTTAACAAAATAAATAAAAATGCAATAAAATCTAGATAGTGTTAATATGTGGTTTTCAAAGTCAATATGCACCTGTAGGAATCCTTATGTACAATTCAGTGGCTCCCATGTCTAATTGAGTTTTGACACCAATGGTTTAAAACTACCCAGGGCACCCTAAAAGAGAAGACAGTATACATTTCCCCATAAACTTTAAGAAATAGGATTTGTACTTAGTAGAATATAACAATTACAAATTGTTTATATGAATGTATGTGTGTGTATCATCCCTCTTTCCTTAAATATACACATATTATTATGTAAGTATAATATTTTGCATGTATTAAATATGCGATAAAATAATTCAATAATGATATAAACAAGCTAATCATCCCCTTCATTTCTGCTCTTAGGATGAACAGGCATCTGCCAAGTTTTTGAGAAGGCTCAAGGTTTAGAAGAAGGCTCATATAAAAAAAGGCACATTAAAATGACATTGTAGTGCTGGAACCCTTCTCTGGTCTCCCATGTGACTGAAAGAAGACCTATTTGCCAGCTTCCTCTTTCAACCAGAGCCCAGATTACAGACTCTAGAACAAATGGGCAGTTGATTCAGTTGGTGACAATCAGAAATGGAGAGATCCAAAGAGGTATCTATGGAATCAGGACTTGGTGGGGCAGAAGGAGCCTTTTATATGCCAGAATGAAAATTTCACTGAGGCTAGAAGATGAATCAAGGGAAATAGCAGTTTGGGGTCTTTGATCTGATAAGAAGATGCTACGGTTTACTCAGTGGGATCTGAAAGTGACCAGAGTCTGAGTAGAGCTATCCCTACAAGGGCAGCTGGTTGTGGTCCTGGACCCCACAGTCAATGAAAGCCTATACATTCTACCCATAGGAAAATGTTTGGAACTTGCCACATGAAATGAGTAGCTTTCTGTTTTACTACATACGCTATACCATGATAGCATTGGCAGTCTTTAGAGTGAAATTGAGAAACTGAAGTTGCTCGTGTTGAATGACTGTCCTCTGGGCTAAGCAAGCATCTCTGAGCCCAAAGTCAAGTTATTTTCCATGTAGATCATTGTTGGAGCAGTTGAGCTGCAACTGGCCTCACCTTGCCCAGCCCACTGACCTCTTAAACACTGGCTAACACCCATTGGACACCACAATGGAGACTGTGAGCCTCCCATGGACGATGACCACGGTGTATGTGAATGGAGGCCTGGGGAACCCCCGCTATGCCAGATGGAATCACCGGGAGAGCATTGAGGACTGTGGCCAGACTGAGCGCTGCCAGGGAGATGGGGAGGGGCAACAGCACAGGCTGACTCCATTTGAGAAACTCATGCGGGACATGTCAAAGGATGAGAAGGTGGTGAGAGAAATCACACTCGGGAAAAGGATTGGCTTCTACCGGGTCCGAGGGGAAATTGGAAGTGGAAACTTCTCTCAGGTGAAGCTTGGAATTCACTCCCTAACCAAAGGTATGGCTTGACTTCTCAGGGTGAAACTCTAATGGCATTTAGAAACCAAGCACATTTATAGTAACAGTAATTTTGGATTTTCTTGAAATGATTAATTGGAGTTTATATATTATTGTCTCAAAGCAATCAATTTCTGAAGTACCTATCAATCAATGCCTTATATTTACATATGTATTAGCAATGGCACAAAAGAGCCTTGGATAATCCAGAAATGTTTTATATTTGAAAATTTCCTGTGGATCATGTGCTTGGGTTTTTTCCCCCCTACTGAAGGTTAAGCTTATAAAGTTGATTTTGCTCATTCTAATTTCCATTCATTCATTAAGTCCGTCACATACTATTTATTTGGTATCAGCTACTACAAAGCATTCTGTTACGTAGTGTGGGAATACAGAGGCAATCAAAAAAAGACCCACTTCATGTCCTCCAGGAACACACAGTATGGTGAGGGGGGCAAAACATAGATTTTTTTTTTAACTCTGTAAAATCATGTTGTACAGAGGGCACTGAACTTGAGTCAAAAGATCTTTATTGGCCCAGTGTCATTAAGCAAGTCACAGATTCCTTCAAGATCTGTAAAGTAGAGGGTAGCTAGGTGGCACAGTGGATAGAGCACTAGCCCTGGAGTCAAGAGGACCTGAGTTCAAATCCAGTCTCAGACACATAACACTCACTAGCTGTATGACTCTGGGCAAGTCACTTAACCCTAGTTGCCTCACCAAAAAAAAAAAAAGATCTGTAAAGTGGAATTCAAGGTACTTTTCCCATTTCCGTTAATAGTGCTGAGTTATGTGTTATGTTATGTTAAGTGTTATGTGTCTGAGGCCAGATTTGAATTTACCAGGGCCTGTGCTCTATCCACTGGGCCACCTAGCTGCCCACCATCCAGGTTTTTAATAAAAAAAAAAAACCCATTAAACAGTACTAAGCCAAGGACAGACTCCTGAGGTACTCCATAGAGACCTACCTCCAACCTGACATAAATCCATTCATGACCACACTCTGGGTCTGGCCTTTTAACTGGTACCATGTCCCTCTAATTGTACTATCATCTAGCCCACATCTCTACAATGTGTTTGTGGAGATAAGATGAGAGATGTCAAATGCTTTGCTAAGAATTAGATAAATGATTTTAATAGCCTTCCCCTGATCTACTAATCTAGTTGCTGTGGTCCAATAGTTTTTCCAGTTGTGTCTGACTCTTGGTGACCCTATTTGGAGTTTTCTTGGCAATGATACTGGAGTGGTTTTGCCATTTCCTTCTCCAGCTCATTTTACAAACGAGGAACTGAAGCAAACAGGGGAAAATGACTTGCCCCCTAATCTATTAACTCTCTAAAAAGCAAATGAAGTTAATCTTCTATGACCAGTTCTTGAAGAAATCATGACGCCCTTAGTAATCACTGCTCCCCTTTCCAGTTGCTTACAAATTATGCACTTATTATGTTCAAGAATTTTGTCAAGAATTGGAGTCAAGCTCACTATACTTTACAGTTTGTAGTTTTTACCTGTTAACAAATTGGAGGAAATGGCTTTGCTTTTGGTGAGTGGCCAGTAAGGTGAAGTTTGTTTTTGATAACTCCACCTGTGTTCATTTATGACAAAAGCAAACACAGAAACCTTGTTAAACAGAATGTGATGAAACAAGGAACTTACTATCTCTGCCTTCATTTTTTGCTTCTGCCACCATTACCTAAAGACTTGGGGTTTATTCCTGGATCTACAGCACTGTGTGGCAGCTGAGTAGTGTGGTGGATAGAATATTAGGCCTGGAGTCAGGAAGACCTGAGTTCAAATGTGGTCTCAGATTCTGAGCAAGTCACCTAACCTCTATTGGCTTGTTTCTTCCTCTTTAAAATGGGAATAATTATAGCATCTATCTCCCAGGATTGTTGTAAGGATAAAATGAGTTAATATTTGCAAAGTGCTTTGTAAAGCACTATATAAATGCTAGCTAGTTATTATTGACAACTTTGGCTGGGCAACCTCAGGTATTGGCAACCTAGACTGTGGAAGATATGAACTCTCCCCCAAGGGTACTCTGCTTTGTAGGGAAACTCACGTGTCATGAAAAGGGTGACAAAAGATGAAAGGAAGAGAAAGAGGAGTGGAGAGGAATTTCCCTCCTTCAGGGGGGAAGAGAATTTTAGTCAAGGGATGGGAAATGAGATGTAGGAGGTAGGAGGCAGGGTGAATATAAGAGGGAATATGTTTGGGGAAAGGAGAGCAGAAGAGAAGGAAACAAAGTAAGAAGAGTGCCCTCCAAAGCTCTAAACTCTACCTTTGTTAGGCTAAAGAGGGTTTACTTCAACTCTTAACAAACTTTGTCTGCCTCTTCTTTTTCTCCACTGGCATATCCCAGTGGGGTTGGTAAGAAAACAGATGGAAACTCACAAGAAAGCTGACCATCCCAGTCCTTGCATCAGCAGCATCCGGGGGCCAGGCTGGACAAAAATCATGGCCAGACCTCCTGAGGTCACGCAGGAACTCTTAGCTCCTAGTGGGAATGCAGGTGTCCATATTTGATTTCCATATTAAAAGGTGCATATTTCCTTAGCCCTAAGTGGAGACACCTGACAGTTTTTGAGCCTCTTCGAAGAGAGGCTTCTGAATATTTGTTTATTTATGTCCCATCTAGTGTCTTCAGATACAAATAAAAGTGGCCATTAGGGACACAAGTCCTTGCCATGTTGTGGCTCTCTCTACCCTCTTCCTCCAATGTCCCTGATCCTCCTTCCTGATGCTCCTCTCCATTGCTTAGCCCTCTCGTATGCCCTTTTATCTTCTGCAATTCAATTCAATTCAACAGAATTTGTTCTGTAACCATTATGTTCAAGGCACACTTTCCCCTCATTTCCCATCTTGGGGTGACTGCCTGATGTTAGGAAGCAGACACCAGGGAAGGGAGGGCCAAGGCTGCCTAGGGAAAGGGTTTCCTGCCAAGGGAACCCTAACATTCTAATTAATTGCAAATAGCAACAGGATAAAGAGCGTGGAAGATAGGGCAGAAACATTGATTTCTTCTGTTTTGGACTCTTTAGCAGGAAAGGGGTGTGTGTGTGTGTGTGTGTGTGTGTACATACACATGCCCTTGTGCTAAAAGGGCTGAGTACTAAGAAGTTACTGGAATGTTGGATGAAAGTAACCAGTTCAATTTTTCCTGAAGGACTTCACAGAAATTATCCTTCTTGATCAGAACTTTGAAGGTCCTAGTTTAATTCAAAATAACGACAATAAAAACAGCTGACATTTATATAGCACTCAACTATGTGCCAATTACTTCACAATTAGTATCTCATGTGATCCTCAAAATAACCAAAAAAAATAAAGTAGGTCTTGTTATTATTCCTGTTTTACAGATGAGAAAATTGAGTTAAGTAACTTACCCAGGGTCACATAGCATGTGTCTAAGGTCAAATTTGAACTCGGGTCTTCTTAACTCTGGTCCAGGTGCTCTATCTACTGAGCCGCCTCTATCCTTGGCTACTGACCAGGCAATGGACTGACACATGCATATGATTCGAGATATCCAGGGGGACAATGAGTCTGGTTTGCCTGACAGGAGTGAAAGGTGTAACCCAGACATAGCTCAATGTGGGCAAATAGCCAAGCAGGGAGAAGTTAGTTGGTGGAAGATCCATAATTAGAAGCTTGAACTTTGATTCATGGGATGAAGAAGATTGGTTATGTGATTTAGAGGGACACATAGCTCATCAATTTCCTACTAATTCATCTTACAAATCATACAATTGGAGGCAGCTCGGTGGCGAGGTGGGTAGAGCACTAGCTCTGGAGTCAGGAGGACCTGAGTTCAAATCCAGCCTCAGACACTTGATACTAGCTGTGTGACCCTGGGCAAGTCTCTTAACCCCGACTGCCTCACCCAAAAGCAAAACAAACAAGAAACAAAACAAAACAAATCATACAATTGATTTCAGGAAGTCCTTGAGACAATCTGAAGTGAAAGAACCTGGATTCATAAGTCAACCTCTGAGGCGTAACTACCAGTGCGACCTTGGGCAAATAACTTCATCTCCCTGGGCTGCACTTCCCTCACCTGTACAATAGTGAAGATGGTCTCCAAAGGCCCTTCCAGTTCTAGCTTCTATGATGAAGCTTGACCACCGTCACCCAGACCCACCTAAGTTGACCTCTTAAGATCCCTTGGAAGAGTATATTGACTGAATCTCAGATTTGCTCACAACATTCTGGCTTCCTAGACCTGGGTCTGCTGTGCCCAGGGGCAGGATACGTCTTCTTCCCTCCCTTTTCTGTCTTAGATTATTTGGGAACTTTGATTCCAGGAATTGTGGGTTGCCCCAGTTGCCTCAAGGATTATTTGTCAAATTCTACTTGACTTGGCCTCTGACTAGGACCTGAAAGTATCTCACATTTGGAATAATAATAATAAAAATAGCTAATACTTATGTAGCACTTACTGTGTGCCAGGCACTGGGCTAAGCACTTTACAGTTATTATCTCATTTGATCTTCACAACAACCCTGGGAGGTAGAGGTGATTATTACCCCCATTTTACAGGCGAGGAAACTGAGGCAAACAGGTTAAGTGATTTGCCCAGGGTCACACAGCTAGGAAGTGTCTGAGGCTGGATTTGAATTTGAGTCCTCCCAGCTCTAGGCTCAATGCTTTACCTACTGTGGAATTGTGTTCCCTGAACTATTAAGATAGCCTCCTAATTAGCTTCCCTTTCATTAGTCTTTCCCTTTTCCAATCCTTCCTCCACTCAGCTGAAGAACTGATATTCCTAAAGCACAATTCTGCTTTAACAGGTCCTTTTATTGCCTCTAGGATAAAATAGAAACTCTTCTATTTGGCGTTTAAAATCCTTCACAATCTGGCTCCAGTCTGCTTTTCTAAGTCTGTTGTACATTATTCCTGAATTGTTAATTAATTTATGAAAATATGAAGTGAGGCAGCCATGTTGGATTCTTGGGTCCTCGGCATCGGGAAGTGAGGCTATAATAGCACTTTAATAAGGC